GAGCTAGGGTTTCGTTTTCGTTACGTCGCTTCGCTTTCCCTGCTAATACTTTATCATTTTTCTTAGATGGGTTGATGTCGATTTTGGCAATCTTTGTTTTTCCGCTCGAATTTTCGTTTCAGTGAAGTTCATTTGACATGCGCATCGATTTCGGCGTTCTGGTTCGATTTTGATGTGTCAATGGAAAGAATTGAGCTTACTGCTAATTATAGTTGTCGCCACTTGATTATTGTTTGAGATTGATGAATATTGCTCCCATGTGATGGGATTTCTAATGGTCTAGCAGCGTATGGTGAGCTTTGGGGCTCAACGCTCCAAGGTCTCATGATACTAAGTATTTTTTTTCAGATGTTTGTGTATGGATTCTTAATAACCAAAAGTAAAATTGGTTTACAGGTTCCTCATGTCCATTAGTTTCTTTTCCGTTGTTATCAATCTTGCATTTTTGTAGGTTGTAATAAATTTAATGTATCTGATTTTTTCTTGCAAATTTGAGAAATCTACTGGTGTATAAATATTACAGAAATCTATTTTTGTAAAAAATATATATATATATATATGATTTATGATGATTTTGTTTTGTATTTTAGTATTATGTCTTAGGAACTAAATAATATTATGTTTTAGTTTGTTATATACTTTGTTTGGTATATATGTTTTTTATTGTAATTATATGTTATTAAAGATTTTACTTAGCTTAAATAATTCTATATCTCACATTCCTTACACAGGATATCAAGAAAGCAAAGATGGATAACAACGATACTCTGCCGAGGTTGAACACGACAGCCGCACAAAATGAGACCATCTCTGAGAGATATATGTCAATTGCTCAAGAAGGTGATGTTGATAAATTCCACGCACTGGTTGCTGCAGATAAAAATGTTCCAGATGCTTTAGATGGATTTGATCGAGGTCTCTATGACACACCAATGCACGCCGCTGCACAATGTGGACACACTTATCTGGCTCTGGAAATCATGAATATCAAGCCTTCCTTTGCTCGGAAGCTTAACGCTTCAGGGTTCAGCCCCATGCATTTGGCGTTGCAAAACAATCATTCGCATACGGTGAGAGCATTGGTGACCGAGGATAGAGGTTTGGTCGGCATCAGAGGAAGAGGAATGATCACTCCTTTGCATCACGTGGCTATGACTGGCAACGAAGATTTGTTGGATGAGTTCTTGGTTGCTTGCCCTTCTGCCATCGAGCGTCGGACGAGCAAGCGTGAGACTGCCGTCCACATTGCCGTCAAGCATGCAAAGCTCGGGGCATTCAAGATTCTTGTAGGATGGCTGAAGCGGGTAAATAGGGAGGAAGTCTTGAATTGGAAGGATGAAGATGGTAATACCATCCTTCATATCGCTACCTCTACAAATCAAACTGAGGTATTAAGTTGTTATTAATCCATAGATGATTCACAGCTTAGCTTCCGCTTCATTGCAACAGTAGATGAACTATGAACTGAATACATCGTTATCCGGTCTTGATCTGGTTCCGAAATCTATAGTGCAAACCACGTTTCTTGAAATTGCAGGTCGTGAAATTGATATATAAAGTTGTCAATGTCAATGCGAAGAACTTGGAAGGCCGTACAGCCAAGGACATATTCATAAGCAACGAGGCTTCTCTTGCCCCCGAAATAGGCAGACTCCTTGTAGCTGCCAGAGCTAAAGAAGGACATGAGGTTACTGGTTCGGAGTCGGAGACGACTTGGGCAAACTATCTTAGACGGCTTTTACATTTTTGAGTGTTGGAACGATTATATATCAAAGAAAACGTAAGGGTTTATTGTTTTGCCATCTTTCTCTCTTCAGAACTGTGTGTTATGTGGCGTAAGAAAGTTTATATGTCTTCTTCATCCAAATCTTGCTGGTGAATATGGTGACTCTGCTCATGATGTTTCTATAACCAGGAGTGCCTCAGCAGACAGAAGCTGAGATGTTTATTGTAAGATTTGCATGCTGAATATAGAAACCTGGAAACTGATTGATGAAAATTCTTATTGCTGACTGCAAATCTACCATGTTCCGGATCATGCACCAATGAAAGAGTGTGCTTTGTATCATTCAAGAACTGGTCTCCCTCTCTCCCTTATTATTACTACTATGAAAAAAATACACAGTTGTCAATCAAATGCTGCAGCTAACTGCTACCAACTTGCTTTTGCTTCAAGACATTGCATGCTTCTTCACATTTTCCAATGTTAATTGTTCCACAAAACACCAGCTAATCTTTGAATAAATAAATGAATAAAAGACATTTTCTAATACAAGTGGACCGAATGAGTGTGATTACTGTGGCCTAACTGCCCAAAGCAATCACGCCTTCAACATTTTTTTTGGCACCCGTCTGTATTTCTTCAAACCAACAAATAATACATTTCTCTGTATAAATTTGGACTCATCAATCTCCTCTCCCTGAACTCATCTTCAGATAAAATGGGTAATTGCCGCAGAAATGTCCTGTGCCTCTTCTCTCTCCTCTTCCTCCTCTCAATCTTCAACGTAATCCAGGTATTATTGTAATTATAAATATGTTTTTATGTTTTTTCTTCACATAATTTTAGAATTTCAAAGGGTCGCAAAATGTTTAAATTTGCCATATTTGAAATCCTAGGCATCTCGTGCCCATGCCCGTGGACACGCCGGCGGCGTAGGAATACTCCATCCTAAAGGTACACGGGCGTACCAATGATGCATTTGCGTAAAAGATTAATCGTATAACATAAAGTTTACACCCAATACTTTGTTCAAATATAATTTACGGAATACGTGTATATATATATATATATATATGTGGAAACAGAGTGCAAAGGGAGGTGCAGTCGTCGATGCATGGGGACGTTGCACAAGAAGGCATGCATGCTAATGTGTATGAAGTGCTGTGGAAAGTGTCGATGTGTTCCTCCTCCTCCTCCTTCTCCTCCCTCTTCTTACGTCATCAACAAGCAGCCTTGCCCTTGCTACTCCTCCTCCTTCAAGACCAGACGTGGAATCCCCAAGTGCCCTTGACTTTAATTTTTTCTTCTTTTTCTATTTCTTTTACATATGGGCCTTGCATTTGCGGCCCATTTTTATGATCTGAGGCCCAATATATGTCGGAATCCTAGGCCCATTCATTTTGGAATAAAAAAAAGGATTTAGGGGCAAACCTTTTATTATTATAATAATATTGATAATAGATTCGAGAATTAGTTTTGCAGTGTATATTCACACAATTAACCAAAATGACAAAAATAACTTTTTCACCTTTTCCACTTAGACTTTGTATATTTTTCATCACCCGATGCCTTTTCTTTTCCAATAATTGTATATTTTCCAATTAAATTTTAAACAATATGGTATCTCTATTATTTATGAAATAAACCCCTAGACAATCATACCCCCCCCCCCTTTTTCCTTCCCCCCCCCCCCAAAAAAAAAAAAAAATCGGAAACTTTCATAATCATTTTTTTTTACATATGGGCCTCGCATTATCGGCCCATTTTGCATGATTTGAGGCCCATTTGTATGCTGGAAAATGAGCCTATGGGCTTCGATTATTGGAGTTTGAGGCCCATTAAGATCAATCTGGCGAAATTTTAAATACTATAAATTTAACAAAAAAATAATAATTTACAGATCGAAATGAGTTTTAAGAATATTTTTATTTAGAATATCCTCTCAAAACTTTAAAATTCGACGGAAATTAATTTTCAATTTCAATCAACCGCGCCGCATTACAATCGCGTGTTACTCCCACTGTTACAGGCGGGGAAAAAGATTGGCACTCTATCGTCTCCGTCCGTGATTCTGTTTCAGGAGATTTCGACGGCAATTGGCCGTTCGGTGAATCAGATTCGGAAACCCTAATCCATGTTGGTGGATTAATTTCAGTTCGGGATGTCTCAGTTGTGTCACAACCTCACCGTTTTTCCGGCGGAATCCGACACCGAATCCGCTGATTTAGACCATGTTCCCTTGGCGGTACGAAGAAGGTTGTTGCTATCGAGAGACAGGGTTCATGGATGTGCTCAACGTACCCATGCTACCGAGTCGACGTGAGTTTTGTTTAGGATGTATTGTTCTTCGACCGATCTTCATTTTGAAACATTCGTTCAAGTTCGGTTTATGTTTTGCAGGTCGAAGGTTGATATTGCCGTGAAAAAGGAAGACGATTCCTCCAATTTTCTGGTAATATAAAATACGGGTTTTTGTTTCATGCATTCTGCGTATTGTTTTTGTATAACTTCTGTGTGCATATATTACATAATAGATAATCCATTTGTTTCTCTGAGGGTTGGCAATTTGGTTGAACTTAAGAAGATACAGCAATGGATAGCACTCTGGCACAGTCAAACCGGAATATTTGTTGTTCATGATTTGATTTAAGATAAATGTTTTTGTGTATGACTTGTAGGTCTAGTGTACTGGTTTTATATATATCCATCTGGATCCTATTCATTCATTAGGGGGAGGTGAGTTTCTGGGATACGTGGTCTTGATGGGAGTAAGATACTTGTATTTACCTTGATAGATTATGGTGATGAAATTTCGAAAAAGGGTAGAGTTTGATGTCTTCTTTTTGGCATAATTCTGCACAGTTTGTTGGTAAGTGATAATGATAACATTTTTGTATGGTATACAAAGTCATCCTGTTCTCATTTCTTTGGTAATTGATCATGTAATTTTCAGGAATTACGTGTCAAAGAAAATGAACACGATATGGAGTCAAGTGGTGATGCTTTAGAAACCGTAGTCACTGAAATTTCAGAAGAATCTGCTGGAGTTGGTTGCTGTCAAGAGATGGTGTCAAGTGGTGTTGCTAAAGAAACGGCAGTCACCAGAATTTCAGAATCTGCTGAAGTTGGCTGCAGTAAATATATTGGTGATTTTGGAAATCTGAAAGCATGTGATGACATTCTAGCATGTAACAATGCCCGAGAAGATTCAAGTAGAATAGGAAAAGTTGAAGAAAACTTAGGACATGATGATCTTGAACATATCACGCTCAAAGAACGGCGAAAAATACTGCTACAAAGGTGTTTTCCTATAATTATTAAATGAGTGGAATATACATACTTGTTTAGTTATTTTAAAGTTTTATCTCATGTTCTATTTCTATCTCATGTTGTGCATGTTGCAGGATGACTTTAACTTCGGGAAAACCCCACATAGAGGTAACCAATGACTACTTAAGTCGTTAACATCTGGATGTTATCATTTCTTACCAAGAGAGACTTACCTTTGGTGTATCAAAAATATTTCTTGCTGCGGGGAAAGCCATTGAGTTTTCAAAAAAAATCCCTGTCCTTCTATCATAAACTTTCTCATGCTTGGCAATTTCATTTTCTCAGGCCTGCTTTGAGATTTTAATGTGTCTTAACATGCAGGGATGTTCTGAAGAGTCTTCAGAAGCTTGTGATGAAAGCAATTTGTATAAAATAAAAACCGAGCTTTCAAAGGAAAATGGTATAGCTTCATTTTCGGGAAGCCAATTTAGTGGTTTTCTTGAGAAAATTGATTCTATCCTTTGTAAAAGTATTAGTATAGGTTCAGAATCTGAAAGCCAGCCTAGTGGAACACAGGAGGGAAATGATTCCATTGTTAAGGAGCAGCCATGTAATGGTTCACCTGAAGGCAGTCTCTTTGGTTTCTCTGATGCAGATTATGGTTACTCCCTGTTAGCTAGTAATGGCCATGCAGCTGCAGGCAAAAGACTGAGAATAAGTGTTAAAAATACTGAAAAGGACTCTCCATCGGTGAAAACAAGTGATATACATGGTTCGGTCTTGCAGAATTATCTTCAGGTAAAGCTTGAGCCTTCAGATAGTTGGCCTGTGCAAGACATACATGGGAAGATTCCTGGTAACTTTGAGCAAGTTCAAGTGAAAAGAGAAACAGAAACCCCTGACGGAAATGACATAGATTGCATGAAATTGAGTTCCCGGATTAGTTCAGTGCCTGCTCAGAATCCTTTGGATTCTGTTGAGCATGTTATCGTGAAAACCGAAGCAGAAACCTCTCATGAAATTGACGAAGACGAGCTAGATAACATGAAATTGTGTGATCGGATGAAGCTGCTAGCATCTTCTCATAAATCTACGAGTTGTTATACTTCAGGTGAAGATTTATACTCTTTCTCAGATTTTATCTTGCCCTCATCCGAGAATATCAAACCTTTGAGAATGCTCCGTACTCGGAAAAGAAAAAAGACTGCGACGTAAGTTTTTGTTCAACCCTCATTTCATGTATTACCACCTTGATGTTTCTGTTCTTTAGCTGATCTTATAAAGCAAATCATCTTTCTCACAAATAAAAACTATTGCAGGAATTCGATTGAAACAGCTCTGGAGGAAGATGCTCCTGGCCTTTTACAGGTATCATTTGTAGGGTTGCCTACTTTAAATAATAGCTTGGGCGCAGAAAAATAAATTTTAACAGGATTTCCTTAATTTACAGTTCACCATCTCCATTAGTGCATTCCCATCTCTAATTAGTTGGATTGCTTGAAACATTTTTAAGCACAAGATAGCTTGAAGTTTATGATCTGTACTGTGCAGGTTCTGCTTAACCAAGGGGTATTAGTGGATGAACTTAAGCTTTATGGGGAGACTGACTGTTTTGATGACCTGAATGACTCACTTATTGAAGAGAGCTTTTCAGAACTTGAAGCTATTATGTCTCAGGTCAAAATATATTATGAATCTATCTTTTTGCTCACTCTTTTTCCTTGTTTATCCGTTTTTTGAGTCATCTGATGCTTTACTCGGTTCCGTGGATGAAGATTGAATTCTGAATATCAGAAACTGACCGAGCTTCATCAAAGCTGAAAATGTAATGATGTACCTTTTAATTGTCTTTGATATGCTAGAGCAGAAAAATTCTAGATGGCCGTCAACAAGATATGTTTACAATCATGTTCACAGTCACTTAACCAAACAGAGAAACATCGTTATGTTTGATAGTTTCCCAGTGAAACTCAAAAGAAGAGACAAGCATAAATTTAGTTATCATTATCAACATGCATCAAAATTTCTAGGTGTCTCGTTCTGGATCATTATATCAGGTTGCCATGATTTCATTAAAAAAAAAATTAGTTGCATCCCGTTGCATTATTCTGATTTATTGATTTTCGGTACTTTTGTTTTTTCTCGACTGATTTTGTTTTTTTTCTTCTACAGCTTTTCTTTAAGCGAGAAACATGCACAAAACTTCTTCCGTTACGGTGTACAAAAAGCTCAAGATCTAGCTATTGCTTGACCTGTCTATTTGCATTGGTTGAACAGGTAACATTTGATATCTGTATTCTCTGTGGTTCATGTGATTAAGTCTGTATTTGTTTTCTTGACATCAAATCTAATTTCCTGTTTCAAGGCACGTTATCTGCGATTTCGCAAGTGGCCTGTGGAGTGGGGTTGGTGCCGAGACCTCCAATCTTTCATATTTGTTTTCGAGAGGCATAAGAGGTAATAAACTGCCATATAAGTAGATTTTATTGACTATACGTGATTAAGATCATTAATCACGATCATTGTTGTCCACCAAATACAGAATAGTCATGGAACGACCCGAATATGGATTTGCCACATACTTCTTTGAATTGGCGGATACATCACCAATCGGTTGGCAGATCAAGCGGTTAGTGACCACCATGAAACTGGCTGGTTGTGGCAGAAATGCATTGATTGAGAACAAACCATTACTGGTAATTCATTTCTCAGTATCCTCCCCAACTTACGAGCTATTTCCACTTCCAGTTCCAGTGGCCATTTTTCATTGGAGGGGAAGTTTGGAACATGCTTAAGACTGACCCCTAACATGAAATGGCTTTTCAGGTGGGGGAAGACTTGAGCGAAGGGGAAGCCCAAGTGTTGACAAAGTACGGTTGGCTTCCAAACACGGGCTTGGCAACGATGCTGCATTATCGTGACAGGGTCTTCCATGACAGGAAGAACGAGAAGGAAAGCTCGGAGTGGAGGTCCAAGATATGTAAACTTCTGGTCGAGGGCTACGCAGGTGGAACTATTGTTTCAAATACGGTAGCTGATAAGGAAACTGGAGATGATGTCTTGATACAGCCACTGGCACAGGTAAAGCCTGAGCTTTGTTTGGATTAAAGAGTAGTGCAAAATGTGGTATACAGAATCAGTGTAGGTATCATTCATCTTTGGGAAATTAGGAGGAAAGATCTGTGCTGTCCATAATATGAAGTCTTCAGAGAAAGGTTTATTAGGAGCTGGTTTAGTTCGGTTTAGAATCAAGACAATTTTCAAACAGGTTGGTTTGGTTCTTTATATCCTTTTTTTTCTTCCAAATACTGTCATAATTTGTTATCTATCTATATGGCGTGTTTAATCACATACTACCACCACTAATCACGATCTGTTTTTCCTTTGAAAATTTCCGTGTACTATGTTCATGAAGATGGTCGAAAAGGGCTGATGATTCCGTGTTCCCATAACATCTTTCTTTCATTTATTTTCAAATTCGTATAAAAATGATAAACTAGTACAATTTATTTCTATATTAAATAATATTTCGGTGAAAGCCCATGTCGACCCAGTACGGCCCATTGGATTGAGTGCTTTCCTTCGGCATTCAAATCGAATATGATCCGTCCAAACTGAGAAAAAAGCCTCAGAATTTGGACGAGGAACGCCCATGCCGAGGCCCATTAAGGCCCGTTTAGATATCAGCATTAAATTATAGCATTAATCATATTATATTATATTACATAGGAAGCCCTTAATGTCTTGAAAGTAACAATCAACCACATTTATTAAAGCTAAGCATAGTCATTAACCAATAGCATCAAAAGCACTAAACTCTTTGGATTCAATTATTACGCATTTCCATAGCCTTTTGACTTTATTTTTGTTCATTAATAGGCTTTCACTATATCTCGTGGTTCAATTCAATTCAATGTGGCTACTTGCGCTTGTTTAGGATAAGATATTATCCAGTCATACTTGAATTTAACATTGATATAAACCATATAATATATTATATGCATGTCACGTGCATATGACAGTCTTTGACTTGTGATAACGTGGGCTGCTCGAAACATGGGCTGACACGTCATCATATGGATGACCTGTCTGCACGCACATACAGGAAAATACTATTGATAAAACCGAACTACACCACTAAATTAAATTATTTATTTTGAAGAAAAAAAACAATTTCGAAAAAAAGGGAAAAAAATCGAAATGCATTTTGTCTGCATTCTCTCGAGAACTATAAATTCCCCCGTCTCAATACCACCGAGATTCATCCAACGTTCAAAAAACGTAGTTCTCTCTCTCTCTCTCTCTCTCAGTTTCAAAGTCCGTAGGCGCCAAATTTAGGGGGTGACAGAAGGGATAAACAGAGGAGATAGAGAGATTCTTCTCCGATCGACGATCGGAGACGCCGGATGGGTAACGATGATACTCGCCGGAGAGGTGAATCGGACGGAGAGGAGGAGTATGAGGTTGACGATCTGAGGGATGGGATTGTTTCGTCGCGAGGCAGCAGGTTCAATCTCCTCTCCAATTTCTTAGGGTTAGACTTCGCCGGAAAAGGCCGGAAACCGATCTTCGACGGCATCAGAGACATCTCCAGAGACCGTATCGTCCATCCCGATAACCGGTAGGTGGTAAGACGCCGGGGCTTTCGATTTTCAAAATTTGCAGGTATCTCTTCTTTCAATTTAGGAATTCAAATTTCGATTTTCGCTCCACATAATCTTATCTGATCTCTTCTTAAAATACATCTCATCAAATTACCAATTTAGGGTTTTTTTAGGACAATATGTTGTTTTTAGTTTTACGAAATTAATTATTTTGCTCGAAGTATTGGATTAATTTAAATGCCGTGTCCCATTGTTTTTGCTAATTACATGTTTTCATATGACACGTGATAGTTAACAGCAATTTGGGGTGAAAATATTAGATAATGAAGTTTTTCGGTCAAAATGTAAGCTGAGAAGACTTGAGGGGTTTGAGTGTGATTTAGCCTTTCTTCTGGTGTCGCCTCCTCTTCGGTCGTTGGTCCATTAACGAGTTTCTGATAAGCGAGAAAAAGCCATTCATTTCCCGCCACGGGGATGACACGTGGCAATATCTGATAAGTCTAGACCTAACGGTAATGTATCGTACACGTCAGCTAGCTTGGTAAAAAAGAGTCAGGGCCCCACTTAATACAAATCGACAGGTCAGAAGTGCTCTGTTTTGATTTCCATGTTGAGAAAAACATACAAACATGTGAAGTTAATGCTCTGTTTCCCTTGTAAACTCATCTTCAGAACCTTCAGTTTAGTGCCAAGCTACCAGATTCTTGTCGGAATCTCATGATGATCATTGTGTTGTTCTTCTTGCAGGTGGTACAAAGCATGGACAATGTTCATATTGGTATGGGCACTTTACTCTTCTTTCTTCACTCCATTGGAGTTTGGCTTCTTCAGAGGATTACCAGAGAACCTCTCCGTTCTCGACATTGTTGGGCAAGTGGCTTTTTTTGTGGACATTTTCTTGCGATTCTTCGTGGCCTATAGAGACAGTCGTACATACAGAATGGTGTATAGGCGCAGCTCCATTGCTATCCGGTTCAGCTCTGCCTTTTCTCTTCCTTCAAACTTTGTCAGCACATTAATTTTTTCATAGCGCGTTAAAATTTGATGGATTTCTTGGTTTCCGAAGATGTTAACGTCCGGGTCATCTATATCCCTGCAGGTACTTGAAATCGAGTTTCGTCATCGATTTGCTAGCTTGCATGCCATGGGATACCATATACAAGGTAAAATTTCTTCAAGTCTCGTTTCGTTCGTGTCGTTACTTCTCATTTACATAACGGGATGCATCATTTGTTACCTCCATTTGAACAGGCTACAGGTAGAAAAGAGGAAGTGAGATACCTCTTGTGGATCAGGTTATATCGGGTGAACAAAATCGTCGACTTTTTTCAGAAAGTGGAGAAGGATATACGAATCAATTACTTGTTCACAAGGATTGTTAAACTTTTGTTCGTCGAGCTCTATTGCACTCACACCGCAGCCTGCATCTTCTACTACTTGGCGACGACTCTGCCTGCTTCCCAAGAAGGGTCCACATGGATCGGAAGCTTGAAGATGGGCGATTATAGTTACGCTACTTTCAGAGATATTGATATTTGGACAAGATATACGACTTCCATGTATTTCGCAATCGCCACTATGGTAACCGTTGGCAAGTTTATTGATATGAGAACTCGTGCTTTGAGTTATGTTAATATCTGGCAGATGCTTTGTATCTATCTTGTTCATGTTGTTTTTTGTCTGTGTCGCAGGTTATGGAGATATACATGCTGTGAACGTACGAGAAATGATATTCGTTATGGTCTACATTTCTTTCGACATGATTCTAGGAGCTTATTTGATCGGTAACATGACAGCTCTGATTGTCAAAGGATCGAAAACAGAAAATTTCCGTGACAAAATGGCCGATATTATGAAGTACATGAACAGAAACAAACTCGGGAGAGGCATCCGTAATCAAATCTCCGGCCATTTCCGCTTGCAGTACGAAAGCAGCTACACCGAGGCAGCTGCTGTTCAGGATATACCGATATCTATTCGGGCTAAGGTACATATCTTTTCCATTCTTCATTACAATTTGGATATGCCAATTCGATTTGGATTTATTAAAGAGGAAAAACAACCTGCTCGATTTAACATCTCTAACGCAGATTGCACAAACTTTGTACATGCCGTACATCGAAAAGATCCCCCTCTTCAACGGGTGTTCATCAGAATTCATAAATCAAATTGTAAGCGCCACACTTAATAGGTAACCGAAGATATGTATTATATTTCACTTGTGATACAAAGATCCATTGTTACAGGTCATAAGACTTCATGAAGAGTTCTTCCTCCCGGGAGAGGTTATACTGGAGCAAGGTAGCGTCGTGGATCAACTGTACTTCGTTTGCCATGGTGTACTCGTAAGTTTCTCGGTCATGTTACTGATGTCTCTACAACAATTGCTTTGGATTGTCTGAAATTCTCAGCTAGTAGACGAAATTTTGTAATAAACAGGAGGAGATAGGCACTACAAAGGATGGATCGGAGGAGACAGTGTCTCTTTTACAGCCCGATAGTTCGTTCGGGGAGGTTTCAATCCTGTGTAATATTCCTCAACCGTACACGGTTCGGGTTTGTGAACTATGTCGGCTTCTAAGACTTGATAAGCAATCTTTTACGAATATTCTCGAGATATATTTTCACGATGGACGTAAAATCCTCAACAATCTCCTCGAGGTAAAACTTTTGCCTTTCTGAATCCCATATTAAGCAGTTTATACACTTGAGCTATATCATTCGGGTGAGCTATTCCGCATCCCAGAGAATGAACAAACAGAAATTCTTGCGCTTTAATCTGAAAAAAACGTTACAGGAAAAAGAATCGAACGTCCGGATTAAGCAACTGGAATCAGATATTACATATCACATCGGTAAGCAAGAAGCGGAACTCGCGTTGAAGGTGAATAGCGCGGCATACTACGGAGATCTCTACCAGCTTAAAAGCCTGATCCGGGCTGGAGCTGATCCGAATAAGACAGATTACGATGGAAGATCGCCTTTGGTAAGCTCGAGCTTCCTGACCACTTTTTTTCGATATTGATTATTAGCCATTGCGCAGCATTCCGACCAGAATCATGAGCCTTGAAACGGACTAATGTATTCTTTTGAACACAGCATCTAGCTGCCGCTAGAGGGTATGAAGATGTTACACTCTATCTTATTCTGGAAGGAGTAGACGTCAACTCCAAAGGTATTCTGAGTACTTTTATTTGATATTCGATAAAGTTGAGTCCTAGAAGTGGGCATGAGTCGGGTACCCGAGTATCTCAGGTATTCATATCTTATGCCCGATCTCAGTCTCTAGACTCGGATACCCGATTCTTGGGGAATAAAGGATCCCGAAATATTCTCACGCAGATAAACCGGGAAACACTCCGCTACTAGAAGCAATCAAGAACGGGAACGATCGAGTGGCATCTATACTAGCGAAAGAGGGCGCCTCGCTAGATATTGAGAATGTGGGAACGTTCCTTTGCACGGTGGTTGCAAAGGGGGATGGCGATTATCTGAAACGGCTTCTAGAGAATGGGATCGATCCGAGCTCGAAAGACTATGATCACAGGACGCCTCTTCACATCGCTGCATCCCAAGGAATGTACCTTATGGCAAAGCAGTTGGTCGAGGCCGGTGCTTCTGTTCTCGCAAAGGACAGGTACTAATGCTATCGATCCGACTTTCTCTGGGATTCTTTTGCGTTAACAGATGATTGGTGCAGATGGGGGAACACTCCTCTGGATGAAGCCACGGCTTGCGGGAACAGGAACTTGATAAAACTGCTCGAAGACACCAAAGCTTGTCAGGTTTCTTTTTCATGTCCAAGCAGCTCCAAAGATCTGAAAGGTACGGTACACTCTCTCGACTATGTTCATCATCATCATCATCATCATCATCATCATCATCATCATCATCATCATCATCATCATCATCATCATCATCATCATCATCATCGTCACATTTTACACGCCATAACCTCGAATTTTTGAAAATAAAATGTTGCAGATAAGATCCATAGGAAGAAATGTACGGTCTATCCTTTCAATCCGAACGAGAAGAGAAAACGAGGGGTCGTGTTGTGGGTGCCAGAAAGCATGGAAGAGCTCATTAAGAGAGCCGCCGAGCATCTGAAGATTCCAGAAGCTTCTTGTGTTTTGTCGGAAGAAGATGGTATGATTAGTGATGTAGATTTGATAAACGATGGACAGAAGCTGTATATTATATAACCACTGATTGGTATCAATCACTTTCATTACACAAAACACCAAAAAGAGAGGTCAAAACTTAGTCTTGAAGATCCAACGGTCGATATTTAGAGGCCTCACATTATAGGCGCATTGGATTGTATGCTTCACACGAATGTCTAGAACCAAACATAAATCTGTTTGTGGATCTGTATTGTCTGATTTGAATTTATCGGAACGTATATCTTCATGACTATTGGGCCGAGCCGAAGCTTATTGCAAGCTCTGAACCGAAAACGTTGCCCAAAAACATTTTAAGCGACATTTCTTAGATAACACTAAGCTGTAACTAAAAAAATTATCTAAGAAATGTTTGCAAATTTTATAGAGGCGGTGCTCAATCCCATAAATCAGAATTTCATAAATTAAAGTGTAAGCACTAAAAAAATCATATACATTTCTTAGATAACATGTATTGTTTTCACTTGTAACACAATTAAGGATGAGAATTTTTTGTTTCGGTTCGATTATATTCAGATTTAGTTATTTTGGTTTCTGAAAAACTATAATCAGTTAAGTTTTTTTTTTATCGATATCTAAATTTCTAATTGATTTAGTTCTTTGGTTTTGGTTAGGGAACATGATTTTTTGATAAACATATTCAATTTTAAATAAAATTTTGATTTTCTCAACTATTTTTATACATTCAGTTTTTTTTTTTTAAAAAAAACTATAATCATTCGGTTATTATATTGACAGTTTTTTTTTACAGTTTTTTAAATCAGAAAATCCAAGTATTTAGTAATAAATCAAGCCATTATCTTTTTGGAATGAGTTCGTTTTAAGAGTATCCAACTTGACAAGCTAATTAATCTAAATTGTTCTAAACGGATTAATTACAGTATTTAACTATAAAATTTACAAGTATGTAATAATTAGGTGTTGAGGTTTAGGACTTAGTATCGATTGATAACAGAGTTTTCATACGAATAATGCATATAATCATAAGATCCATAATGTTTGAAAAATTCATAAAAATCTGGGCAATGAGAATATTATGGACTGAATCTACGTGGTATATAGTTGGAAAGGAGATTCATTTTTGTAAAAAAGACGAGTATTTCTATAAAAGACCGTAAAATAAAAATAAACATGTTTTTGGTAATTTTTATTTAAAAAACATGGTTTTGGTAAACCCTAATGCATCAGGGTCCACAAACCCTCCAAGTGAAAAAGAGTCACTTGTCAGCGAAACACTACAAACAAAAACCCTACAAGAGGTTCACTATATCTATTTTCCTTGTGCAAAACACGTGCGTGTATATATAATATATATAATCGATGCCATTGTCTTATTGGAATGAGTTCATTTTAAGAGTATCTAACTTGACAAGCTAATTAATCTAAACTGTTCTAAACGGATTAATTACAGTATTTAACTGTAAAATTTACAAGTATATAATAATTAGGTGTTGAGGTTTAGGACTTAGCATCGATTGATAACAGAGTTTTCATACGAATAATGCATATAATCATAAGATCCATAATGTTTGAAAAATTCATAAAAATCTGGGCAATGAGAATATTCTGGACTGAATCTACGTGGTATATAGTTGGAAAGGAGATTCATTTTTGTAAAAAAGACGACTATTTCTATAAAAGAGCGTAAAATAAAAATAAACATGTTTTTGGTAATTTTTATATAAAAAAAAACATGTTTTTGGTAAACCCTAATGGATCAGGGTCCACAAACCCTCCAAGTGAAAAAGAGTCACTTGCCAGCAAAATACTACAAACAAAAACCCTGCAAGACGGGTCACTATATCTATTTTTCTTGTGCAAAACACGTGCGTATATATATAATATATATAATTGATGCCATTGTCTTATTGGAATGAGTTCGTTTTAAGAGTATCCAACTAGACAAGCTAATTAATCCAAACTGTTCTAAACGGATTAATTACAGTATTTAACTGTAAAATTTACAAGTATGTAATAATTAGGTGTTGAGGTTTAGGACTTAGCATCGATTGATAACAGAGTTTTCATAGAATAATGCATATAATCATAAGATCCATAATGTTTGGAAAATTCATAAAAATCTGGGCAATGAGAATATTCTGGACTGAATCTACGTGGTATATAGTTGGAAAGGAGATTCATTTTTGTAAAAAAGACGACTATTTCTATAAAAGAGCGTAAAATAAAAATAAACATGTTTTTGGTAATTTTTATATAAAAAAAAAACATGTTTTTGGTAAACCCTAATGGATCAGGGTGCCCAAACCCTCCAAGTGAAAAAGAGTCACTTGCCAGCGAAACACTACAAACAAAAACCTGCAAGACGGGTCACTATATCTATTTTCCTTGTGTAAAACACGTGCGTGTATATATAATATATCTACTATGTGGTTTTACCATACCACCTAGTTAGATTTAATTAGAAAATAATATGATAGCATGGTTGTTTAAAATTTGATAATTATAATGGTTTTGAATAAAAAGATAAAAATTATTGTAAAAAAATATAAAAAGTTTAAATTTGAGACGGTCTTGTGTGATATATTAGTAAAACTACTAAATAATATAACGTCGATAGTAGTGTTACTAATGTTTAAAAGCTGACTATTATTTATATCAAAACTAACATTTTTCATTTGACAAAACTGTTATTAATTATTAAAAAAAACTAACATTAATTGATTCTTAGGAATATATTCATACAATTCAATGAATTCATGTGGGTCTACGAAATATATAAGGCCCAATTGCTCCAATAAAGCCAGTAACTTACCAATCCACGTGAATGGGCCAGAGACTTTTGGCCCACCGACCTGTAAACCCGTTTTCGGCAATCCTCGGAAAACGGTCCACAAACCCTGTTGGTGAAATTTGAACAGTTTCACCTCCCAATTAATTGAAACGTCAGAACGAATCACGTTAAAAAAACTAAAAAAAGATCCACCTGTCGAGTTTTGGATCGGTGACGTGGCGCCCATCCTCTGTGTGGCGAAGGACATCCGACGGATGGGAAGGGGTGACATCGTCATCGCCAGCCACGTCGCTCGAGGATTTCCGGTCCAATCTCGTACCGGCCCATGGGCCCGAAATGGAGTGCGGGTTTCCAAGCCTGTACACGGCGCATGGCTTCACGCGATGAGCCAGCCTAGCGGAGAACGCCGTAGGAGAGCTATAAAAAAAATGCATGGGAATTAAAATATGTATTATTCATCCATTAGCTAAAACGGAGCATTTATTTCTATATAAGAGTGTGATACCAAAATAAGTAAACTAAACATTCAAGACATCAAAATGAATATGTAACCATATTCGGATATCTCCAAAATGTAATGGGCATCTCCTAGGCTATAATATGGCCAAGATGTGGTGTATTTAATATCACATGATATTTTTGAAAATACATTACATCTCCTACTAAAGTCTGCAATCCCGGACCTATAATTAACCGTCTCACCACCAATAACTCATCCGATACTACAAGACAGAAAACCGGAAAACTTGGCTCTCATATGAGATAAATCAATAAAAATATATGGCTTTGTTCTTGATCCAACGCTTTCGGATATTAGTGGAATCAATTCTCAAGGTTTTGATTATTAGATATTAATCAAAATTTATTTATACATAATATGTACGATTTTCGTACGATTTCATATAGATTAAAAATTCATTATAATTTATTAACCGTTTTAAATTGGCGAGATATATAATGTTTAATTATTGTATATTGATCAAAATTATTAGAAAATGAGATTTTGATGGGTGATTGATGATTACAAAACAGAAGAAACTGCCTCCATGCCTCTTCAGTTGCCTGCCTCCTGTTTGAATCAACTCTTCCATGTCTCATTTTCTCCTTTTTAGTGTTATTGATCTTATCTACGAGGATATTAATTGTTTTTTTTTCAAACAATACATTCTTAAATGGGATGATTAGAAAATCATGCATGATATGTATAAATAAATTTTGATCAATATATAATAATTACAACTTTGATAAATGATTTCGCTGACGACTGAAAGCACAAGATAGCCATATATATATTATGAGATCAATCATTTATTATTCTTAGGAAGGAAAATAGAAAAAATAACAATGTTAACTCTAGCATACACGTTACCTGACATGATGGGAGTAAGAATACCAACTCCAATGACCATGGAAGGAAGTGCTCATGATCATGGTTGTCACATTCTTGATTTGTTTTATACTTTTTTTTTGTGTTTATGTTGTTAAGATACCAACATAACTCACCACTTGAGGGTTTGGGTTCGGCAAATTATGTAATCGGTGTCTCGATCGACATTTTGGTTCCATTGTTCTCAGTGTAGAGATTTGGAACATATAAGCTTAGTTTCATCTTCTCCTCTATCATCCTGGTGTGGTTCACGCAATTATGGTTATATAAGTTAATAACTATTTTATTATGTAAGATTATAGCATAATTTTTTTATAGAATAAAAAAATCATTAAAATCTTGTTATATAGTAATTCCGTCGAATAATTTCACCAACTCTATGAGATTTTTAGAGTGATAAAGCATCGATAGAGATAACAAACATGAGACGTGAAAATATGTTGCAGATTAGTTTCAATAACATTTCTTAATGTTTCATCATTTGTTAACTTGAGACGTAAAAATGTATTCATTTGTTATATTTCTTTCGCTAATACTGTTTTACCGTGGACAAGCTTCTTTTCTTGTCAAACATACCAACAACGTGTCAAACACGTTTTTCGCTTTCGTATAAGATTTGTCGGGTAACAATCTCTATTATAGTTATATATGTTAGCAACTGTTATATTATGTACGATTATTGCACAATTTTTTTTATAGAATACAAATATCATTAAAACTTTGTTATATAATGATTTTTTGAATAATTTCAACAACTCCATGAGACTTTTAGAATGATAAAACATTGATAGAGATAACAAATCTAAAACGTGAAAATATGTTGCAGATTAGTTTCAGCAACATTTCTTAATATTTTTCATTTGTTAACATGAGATGTGAAAATATGTTGCAGATTAGTTCCTCATTTGTCATATTTCTTTCGTTGCTACAGGTTTACTGTGCACAAGCTTCTTTTCTTGCCAAACACCCCAACAACGTGTCAAACATGTTTTTCGCTTTCGTACCAGGTTTGTCAAGCAATAATCTCTATTATGGTTATATATGTTAGTAATCGTTATATTATGTATGATTATCGCACAATTTTTTTGTAAAAGAA